TCTGGGCGGGCCGGGCGTCCGTCGCCCTCCTGCCCGCGCCGGGCGTCATCCCCTTTTCCCCGTGCATGGCGGCCCAATTAGCGTTCTGGGCATCCCACTGGCGCGCCAACGCCAGCGCGGTGACTCTGCCTAGCCGCCGAAGTGAAAAATGTGTGTGCGCGTTGGCGATATATCTGAATTAGCGTATGCGTTTGTATCTATGTCTCTGTCGTGGTGGCCGCGCGACTTGCGCTCCCGGCCGCCTCCCACCAGGAGTGCGAGTTGCGCTGCGACATGACTGCTCCCCGCGGTCTACCCCGCTGAGCACCCGTCGCAGGCCAGAGGGCCCTCCGAAGGCCCCGCTGTTGGCGCGGCCCTCCCCGCTGCCCCCCGGCCGAGCCAGGCCACCGCAGGCCCCCCGACCTGGCTGCCCGCCGCTCGGGCAGCGATGGCGGGCGCCCGTCGGAGGACCCCCCTGGGCTGGGCGCTGCTCCGTGCTCGGCCGGGCGCACCTTCTCTGCGGCGGCTCTGCGGCCTCCGAGCGAAGAGCGCGTGCTGTTGAGGGGCAGCGATAGGGCTGGCACACAACGCCGATAGAATGGCGACGAGTCCGCACGGTCCTGGACGAGGGGGGCTAGTTATCGGGCCTCTACCGGCGATCTGTGGGCGAGTGGGGATCGATGCATTCCCCCCTGAACCTATTCCCCCCCCAACGTTGCCCTTGAGCTGTGGAACTCCTGTGGCACGGCTGCTGGTCAGACATCCCCAGCGAGCCTGCTGGAACTCGCAGCTTGTCAAGCGCGCGTTTTCCTTCTCGTTCCCAGTGCGCGTTGGCGCAGCTCCTGCGCTCAGGCTCAGCGCTTCCTGAGCTCGCGCGCAGGTCCTAGGCAGCGCCGAGGAAACGCTTCCTGGGCTCATGCATAACTCCTGGACGAGAAGGGGGGCGGCCGTCGGTCCGTGACTCTGGGGGCCAACGCGGTGACGCTGTACCTGCAGGACTCCTGGGCGGCGCGATCGGCCCCTCGCGGTGCAGCGCTCGTATGCGTCGGCACGTCTTGGCGTGGAGTCCTGGCGCTGCTGCAGCGGCGGGCCCCAGGGGCGAGCCGCAGCGACCGGGCCTCACGCTGCACGCGACGATCGCGCACGTAGTTGAATGGCAGGGGGCGGGAGGTGTTCAGCCGGCTTCTTTTCCTGCGGAGCGGTGGCGCCGCCGCCGCATTCGCCGCCTGACCACGTGAGGTAGTCCCCGCGTGTTCTGTTTCTCTATCTCACGGCATGCGACGCTAGTGGACAGTGAAGCGCTTCTCCATACCCCGCGGGGCTTGAGTGCCGCGTAACCATGTTAGCCACCACCGTGTCCACTGGCACATTGAGGGATGCCAAGTGCTGTCCAGTATGCTTGCTTTCAGTCTTCTAAGGGAGCCCCCCTCTCCACTCGCGGACTTCTGCACGCACCGCCCCCGCTCCCGAGGCCACGATCCTTAGTACAACTCCATGGCCCCGCGCTCCCGAGGCCCAGGTCGGCCCAAAGAGAGCCCCAAGCTGGCCCAAGAGGGTCTTCAGACGGACCCGCGGCGGCCTCAGAACGCCCCTCGACGGGCCAAGACGACCCCTGCCCAAACGCTACGCTAGGGCCTTTGGTAGTCCCTACCCTAGGCTACACTAGGGCCTTGGGTAGGCCCTACCCTAGGCTACCCTGGGGCCTTGGGTAGGCCCCAGGGTAGCCTTCCCCTTGGGTTCTACCCCCACGGCGGCCTTAGAACGCCCCTCGACGGGCCAGGACGACCCTAACCGACATCCCAGGCGGAAGATGGCCCCGAAAGCATTGGCGCCCCAAGACTGCCAAAGGGGGCCCCCAGACCGCCCAATAGAGCCCCCAAGGACCCAAATACTGCCGCACAGGACCCCAAGTCAGCCTAAAGACGGCCCCAAGTGAACAACTCCTCCTCGATATCATCACCAGCTTGATATTACACATCGCACTCGTCCGCTAAAATGCTAATCATTACCATGTTCCTCCTCATCCTCCTAGATCGCGTCTGCGAACATTTTCGCGAATGTGGCTCAGTCACTTCATGGCGGTGGCGGTGGAATTTCTGGGGGGCCCTGATTTGGACCCCGTCTGGAAAGCGGTTCCGTGTTCCGCATGCCCCCATTATCCTTCTTATCGCCCGAGTGAAATCGGTGTAGTGTGTCTCGCGCCTCCTATCTCGGTGCCGCCAGTTGACAAGTCTCGGACATGCGATACCGATGTTGACGACGGCGATGGCGACGCCGTTGCGCCTTCTTCCTTTGGTGGATCGGGATCTGCGCGGACAAATCAAGGAAGAAAGTCGCTCCTCGAGCTCATCGTCGCCCGCGGGAAACACCTCTGATTTCCCCAGCGGCCGAAGGGAAGTCCAGGTCGACCCCAACTGACTTTCCGAATGATAAGGAATTGATGCACGACCCCGGAACACGGTTTTGCAGTCCAACCCGAAGGTGTTCAGGGGGGCCGAAACTGCTCAGACGCCCCCCGTGCATGAATGTACATCATCTGGTGACGGTTTCAGATGAGCGCGCGGATTGAATCTCAATATGTTCGGGTCGACGACTATGGAGAAAACCATCACTGTAAGAACCAATGGGTGTTGCGTGATTTTCAGATCCGACCGGAACAACTTCCAGGTCGACTTGACAATGCCCAGGTGCCCCGCGTGCATGAAATTCGCCGGCCCAACGGGCCAGGGCGTGCTAAGATCTCCGGTAACTGGTTAACAGTATTAACAGTATTTCTAGTTCGCGCGCGCGGGGCGGCCCCTGGGGGTCCCCCGGCGAAAAGTACCCCGACCAACGCCCGGTCGCCGCCCGACCGCCGCCCGACCGCCGCCCGACCAAGTCTACTCAGAGATGGTTTTCCTTCTGGGTGCGGCCTCTCAGGCTCCCCAGAGCGCGCTCAGAGTGCCCCAAGAGGCCCCCAAGACTGCCCAAGAGGCCCCCGAGACGCCCAAAGAGCGCTCGAAGACGCCGAAGATGACCCCAAGACGGCCCAAAAGGCCCCCAAGACAGCCCAAGAGGCCTCCAAGACGCCCCAAGAGCCTTCCAAGAGGCCTCCGAAGAGAGCCCCAAGAGGCCAAAATCGTTGATTTTCATTTGTTTTTTCGATGTTTTTTGTGTTCTGGCTTTTTCGGCTTCCGGACGCTCCAAGACGGCCCAAGAGGCCCCCAAGACCGCTCCAAGACGGCCCACGAAGCTCCCAAGACGGCGCCGAAACGACCCAAGAGAGCCCTCAAGACGGCCCAAGTGCCGCCCAAGACGGACCAAGAGGCCCCAAGACGGGCCCAAGAGGGACTCAGGAGGGATACCGAGAACTCAAAAATGGAGCCCTCCGTCCCAGAAGGCGCCCAGGAGGTCCCAAAGAGGCCCCAAGAGGCCTCCAAGAGGCCCCAAGATGTCGCCAAGAGGCCCCAGGAGACTCCCAGGAGGCCCAAAAGAAGCCCCAGAAGGCTTCAAACATGTCTCCCAGGCGCCCCCGAACGGCCTCTCAACAGACCCCAAGAGGCCCCCCAAAGAAGCATCTTGACGACGACTCTATTTCGCCCCATCGAGAGACGACCCCCAGGGAACTGCTTCACCATCAAAACTCCCCACGCAACGCGTCCGAACGACACCCGCCCCCAAGAGCGCAACATGGGCAACGAACACACAGACAAAAACCAGCGATGCCATATCACGGGCCGGCGGAATGAGCGAAGCGATTCAATAATACAACCCTATGGCGTCGTCAAGTTTCTACACCGACACCACGTGGTACACTTTGAAAATAAACTGCCAGGTCGACCTGAAAATACCATCTGTGTGAAAACAATGATGAAGCACCCTGGAAGAAAGTCTGGTCAAACCTGAACATTTTCAGGTCGACCTGAAAGTGCCGAGGTGCTCCCTTGGCATTTTCAGGTTTCTACACCGCTTGGCGGTTATAATGTCATTAAGGGACCTGAAGTAACCTGAAAATTTAACCCCCCCCTGCGGCTCCGCCCAAACGCACTACTGGCGTGTCCAATGACATTGTACGGGGCCCCGTGTGCCTAACGGGGGTTCGCCATTCTGCTTTGGCCCACTCACTCTCTCTTACTCATGACCATGCTCATGTTCATGCTCATGATCATGCTCTCGCTTGCTCATGCTCATGCTCGCCTGCTATGGCCCGCTCACTCTCGCTTGCTTTCGCGTGCGCATGCTCATGCTCATGCTCATGCTCCACTCGCTTTCGGTTGCTCATGCTATGGCCCTCAATCTGCAGACGCGCATTCTCATGCTTGCATTGTTCGCGAAACTGCTGCAACGGGTCAGTAATTCCCCTTCCTGGTCATCGTTGCATCCATCCTCCTACCCGCCCCAGGACGACCTTAGATGGCCCAAGATAAACTCAAGAGTGCCGAGGTGTGACTTGTGATGCGTTCTGACCTCGACTTCAACCGCCGCTACAGTTCCCATGTCTCGGCCTCCTGCCGCCCCTCGAGCAGTTGTCTCCGAGAGTACTGGGCTGGCACAGTGGCGGGACTCTTGTCGCATGCGACTGGATATATTCTATGCCACCCGCCAACTTAATTGTGATGAAGTGCGCGCTCAGCGCAGCGTGCTGCACGACCACTCATACCACTCGACCCACCAGCCATTTTGCTGAGGCGGTTCAGGGCGCTTCGCCTTCGAACCCCCATGCTGCCCCTCCAGGGAGGTGTTGATCACTGCTCCTTGTGATTGAACACGCCCCCGTTCGACTGGGCGCCGACCAGGAACAATGCGCCACCCCATCATCCCTGACACACTAAACTAACATACTGAGTGCGCGTGACATCAAACACCTGATGAGGCGGCACCCCGCGATCACATGGCACTCTTCCTGGCAAGGATGGCGGGGGTGTGATCGTGTTGCTCCGCTGTGCGATCGCCCACCGCCAGTGTCGAGAGCCAGCGCGAACCGATTGCGGGTGCACACGCCGTGCGCCATGCCATGCGCGGAGGGCCTCCCCCTCCTCGTC